TTTCCTTATTGGCACACGCAGGCCCTGCAGCTTCTCTTTCTGTAAGTGAGGTGGCTCCTGTTCCACCAGGCAAAGAGCTCAGTAAAGCATCGAGCCTAACCGAGCCACCTCCGCTGGAGGCGTGAGGCCAAGACCCGTGTGCTCAGGGCACCGACGTGGGCTGAAGCACTGTGGGGGCAGCCCGGCTGCTTGTCCCTGCGGCCTGAGACCCACAGGCTGTGGAGGGACTCGGTATTCAGCTTTGATGCTCAAGATTGAGGGCGTCCCACCCCAGAGCTCCTGGAGAGAGCGGGGCCAGCTCAGGTGTGCACAGGCCTGTGGAAAGCCACTGGAGAGCTGGACACAGGCAGACGTGGACGGACCGAGGACTCTGAAGGAATTCAGGCAAAATGTAGAAATCCTGCCCCGAACAGGTTAGCTACCGTGAGGGAGACGTGAGGAGGGCTGGTGGCAGGCCCAGGGCCTTCTCGGTGCCAAGGACCCACCAGCAGGAAAGTCGTCCCCGTTGTGCCAGGAAGAGTCTCTCTGGGGCCAATGTCTAGGGTCTCTGTGGACCCCGGTTAGGAGAGGTTTCATGCAGGCTGCTGTCGGTTACCCGAGGGATAAAGGAAGCAGTGACAGGTTGGAGCCATACAAACCAAAAGGCCAAAGCAAGGAGAATAAACCACACAGACATCGCACAAGCACAGGGGCCCGGGTAGAGGGAAGCACAGGACCTTCATTCGGAAGAAAAGCAACCAAGACGTGGGCTTGGCGTGCAGAGAATGAACCTGCAGGGGAGGGGAGGCCTGTGCGCCACAGAGCGAGTTGTTCTGCTCTGGTTTTGTTTTGTTATTTTTTTTTTAATGACTGGATTTTTCTCATTCATTCTGCAAATGATTATTCAGTGCTGTTTATGGGCCAGACACTTTTCTTGGTGGTTGACATGTTAATGAACAAAACAGGAAAAAACAGAACCCACCCAAGTCTCATGGAGCTTACATTCCAAGGTTTCTCTTAAAAACAACACAGACTGCCCCTGTACCTGCATCTGGAGTCAAGTTCGTTGATAACCATGGCTTTGAACATCCAGTGAAGGCCGATGGACTGATCAAGAAGATTGATTAAGGCAGTTTTTAAAGACCACATCAGGGCTGGGGATGTGGCTCAAGCGGTAACACGCTCGCCTGGCATGCGCGGGGCGCTGGGTTTGATCCTCAGCACCACATACAAATAAAGATGTTGTGTCCACAGAAAACTAAAAAATATAAAATAAATATTTAAAAATTCTCTCTCTCTCTTAAAAAAATAAATAAATAAAAAATAAAGTACCGCATCAGCTGGACATCTGTAAGTGGGTTAAGGACAGCGCTGACCCAGGAAGGTGCTGGCAGAGCCAGCCATCCTCCTCCCAAAGGCCACTCCCAGCCAAAGCCTGCAGGAGTCTGGGACACTGGCCATCAAATAGTCACACGGCTCCAAGGCATCAAAGTTTTCTAATAAACATGACGCACCGAGGAGGGCAGTAAGAGAGTGTGCCTAACCCGCGAGCCCTTTAGAGAGACGTGTCTGTGGGTGGCAGAAAGAGCAGTTTTCAGTCCCCACAAGAGAAGCCAGCTTGGGTGGGTAGGTCTCCCTTTTCTACCACTTGCTGGTCAGGGTGGATGCTGGGGCATCCAGGACACCAGAGCTCTGAGCAGGGGTCAAGGGATGGGACAGGAGTGACAGGGTGACCACGGGGGAGGAGTCCAGCCTGAGACCAGCAGAGGCCTGAGATGAAGCAGGGAGCTGACTGACCTTGATCTCCCTGACCCCCTCGTTCAGCTGGGACTGATGGGGCTCCAGGCTACGATGGCTGGAGAAGAGAGCCCCAGAGGGGAGACAGCGGTCCCCTCCGCCCCACTGCACGCTGGGGGGACAGCAGGCCTCTGCTCCTGGCTAAGAAAGGGAGTGAATGGCAGGGGCACCCTCGGGGGCTTTTCAGGGGAGCCTCTGGGAACTGAGGGGCTGCTGCAGAAGAGCATCTGGCCCAGCTGGGGCCTCGCATGGGGCTGCACACCTGAGGAAGAGCCACTTGTCCTCAACGTCCCGGAACTGTGCCCTCTGAGGACCACGGTCAGAGGTCAGCGGACAGCGCTGGGCGGCTTTGGCATTCCTTCCCTTTGTAGGCCAAGACAGTACCGTCACTTCACTTGTACCCTTACTCCCCCAAAAGGACAGACACTAAGGAAGGTCGGTTTGCCTTTGTCCCACATGGACGGGCCAAGCCAACCACGCTGGTGCTGAGCCGTGGCTTCCCCAGAACAGGGCAGAGGGATTGTACAAGGAAGACACCTCACACAGCACAGTTCCTTTTGCTTAATCTCGAATCAAGACGAGGAGCATTTACAGCCCAAGATTTCTCACCCACTGCAGCAGGCCCCCCGCCGCTCAGAACTGAACTTGTCGGGATGCACCAGACGGGCTTCCGCGGTTCTCAGGCAGGGCCTACTCCTCACACGCCTGCAGTGGGCAGCGCTGGCGGGCTGGCAGCCCCTGGTGCAGGCTGGGCACCCATGCCCCAGCCAGCAGGCTGCATGGTGCTAGTGGAAGGCACCAGGGAGCCCTCTGGGAAAAGAGCCTTTGCTGCAGTGGCACCATCCCGCTAGCAGGGAGCTGCCCGACTCTCATGGATCGGGGGCAGGCGCCAGCGAGAGGCCCCCTGCTCCCCTTTCCAGGACCCATCATTGTCTTAATATCTCACAGCTCTTTGGGGTCACCCGTGAACTTCCAGCTGGCCACGTGAATCCTCCACTCGGGTTCTGAGAAGACAGCCAACGAAGTGGAGTGGAAAACATCATGGGTGGAGGTGAGTGAGCCCAGAGGAGTCAGAGGAACCCCGCTCTGGGGGCAAGTAAAGGTCACTTTGGGCAAGAGACATGAGTGTTAGTAAAAGTGGAAGTGTGTGCGGGCCAGCGTGTGGGAGAGAAGGTCAGGGGAAACTTGGTGGCTGCAGGAACCTCAGGCTCATTTATGAATGGACCCTCATGACCAGCCGGGAGTGGGGGTGGGAAAGTGCTAGGTGTCGGGGGAGTCCAGAGACGTGCCCATCAGACGTTCCACGGAGGGAGCGGCAGGGGCCTCACTGAAGCTTCATTCAGAGCTTGGGAGGTGACAGGGACTCAACGCAGAAACCAGGCAGCCCTCCCACACAGACAGCAGGGGCCGTGGCCAGCATCAGACAGAGCAGTGGGCTCCAGAGGGGACATCTGGTTGTGGGCTCTGCTTGTCTCAAGTGTCGGAAATCAGTGTCTAAGCGTTATGTGTGTGCCTCAAAGACCCCAAATTCCAAAATTACAAAATGGGGTTTCTAGGAAGAGCACACGGCCGGCTCCTGGACGTGACCATCACGGTGCTGCCCGAGTGGACAGAGCAGGGTGTGTGTGAGGACCTCATGCCCCTGTGGGTTCTCCCGACCTGTGCTGTCGGCAAAGAGCCCTGGGCCTGGTGTCAGAAGATCAGGGTGGAGATGTACCTCTGCCACCATCCAGCTGTGCTTGGGCACATGCTTAGCCCCTGGAGTGCATATTGTCACACACATGTTTCTGCTGTGGTCCTGCCAAGGGCCTGGGCTGGGTCTCATTTTCCCCCTGTGTGAACGACACAGCCGCCCTAGATCAACCCGGGATTGAAACCATGTCACTTTTTTTTCTATTTTTTGAGCATTGTGATAGAAATCTGGGTCTTCTGATAGACACATGAACAATTACTGTTTGTTTATTGAGTTTCGGGCCATGTCCTTTCAAATAGTAGCTGTTTTAGTTTTTCTTTATTGGACATTTTTACACTGTAAAGGTGCACCCAATTTAATAAGCAAACATTAAAAGATAGAAAAAGAAAAAGCTAGTATTTTTACCCTTCCTTCTGGTCCACTCTGCTGTGATAATGAGCTGACACCACAGGGCCATATTTTTATCTGCTCCTGGGAACGTGCGGGTCTGTGGTCGTGGATGTGCAGTGTCACACGGGGTTTCCCTTGTCTTCCCTGCTGTGTGACTACAGCTGTCCTGAGCACAACCCTGCAGTTACAGGACCACCGGCCTCTCTCTGAGCATCCCTCCAGCCTCATGCCCACAGATAAGGGGAGCTGGGGAGGAAGTGCAGGGGACCCTGGGGGAGAGGGGACAGCTCCAGGCCAGCTGCAGGCACTGCAGAACCTCCCACCACCCTGTGCAGGGCGGGTAGGGGACAGGGAGGGCTCAGGGGACTCAGGAAAGATGGCCCTTGCTCTGGGCTGAGGAGCCTGCTGGGGGGCCAGGGAGAAGGCACGGGGGCACTCAGGGAGCTCTACTGGAGTGACACAGGCCAGGGTGCTGGTGGTGCTGTGGACAGAGTGGTCCTAAGGGAGGTGAGAGGCAAGGTCGGATTCTGGTGTGCTTTGAAGTTATCCAGTGAACGGGGAAGCCAGAGAGAAGCCGCTCAAGAGCAGCCCTGGGGCCTCTGGACACCCAGCTGGAGAGCGCGAGGCACTGTCACTGAGACGGGAGGCCCAGGGAGGGGGAGTGGGGACAACCGCAGGAGCAGTGTGTGTTTGTGTGTGTGTTATTGTTGTTGTCTAGCACCTTAACTCAATAAGGAAGCCGCCTACCCTGACCCTCACGTAAGGTAAACTTACTCCTCCACCACAAACTGGTCACACTACCAAGAGCAACGCACAGATTCAGTGCAACCCATCAAGGTACCAAAGATGTGCACAGAACTGAAAAAACAGTCCTGAAATTCATGTGGGAGAATAAGAGACCCCAAACAGTCAAGCAGCCGTAGTAACAAAACAGCGTGGAATTGGCGTTCAACCAGACGTGAAGACCAGCGGAACAGAACAGAAGGCACAGAGACAGACCCGTATACCAACAGCCGTCTGACACTTGACCAAGGTGCCAAATGTAGTGTTGTGACTTCCTGAAACACTCCTTTCTTTGAAAGTGTTGAAATGTACATTTGGACATATCCTGTGGTTTCTCCTGCACTGGGTCCCCAGCGTCTGGACTGTCTCATTTTGTATGTACAAGCATTGCTCTTGCCTTCCGCATCCAAAAGAGAAATCTAACTCGGGTCTGCAGAGGACAGAGTGCTGGTCAGCTGGAGGAAGGCCCCCTCCTTGGGCCGTGGGTGGACCCTGGGCTTGCTCCTTCTGCTCTGTTTGATGCTTGTTTGTGGCTGTTGTTAACAGCTGGCCATGGAAGAAGGAAGATGAAGGGATCTGACGGCCCAGGAAATCGTTCACAAGTGCAGAGACAAACAGCCCAGTTCTGTGGAAACCATGACCAGGGACGCACTTCCCCTCGGACACAGGGAGCCATGGAGCGTGGGCAGGGGACAGCAGAATGGCCGCATCACACGGAGCCACTCACCAGGGAGTGGGGGCGGCCGGGGTTCTGTCACAGGTGGGCACACCAATGCCACCGATGCGTGACTCACACTGGCGCCGTGTCAGTGACGAGGCTCCTAGCCCTTGGCGGTGCTGTGTCTTCCAGTCTCCCTTGTTCCCTCGGCTGGCGATTTAAGGTGGTCTGTTTAAGTGTTCCGACACCCAGTCAGGGTGCTGTGAGTGAGGGCACAGCAGCAGCCAGCTGCAGGCGTAGGCACAGGTGGCCACGGGAAGCAGGGGCAGTCGAGGCCAGGAGGCCACGCTGGGTGTGCAGCAATGAAGACACCCTGGACCTTGGCCCCTGGTTCCTAGCACAGAGCTCCCCATGCCTTGGAATTCCTGAGGGGTAGAGCTGTCCCTTTGTCATCTGTACAACCACACCTAAGGTCATGGTAATGGGTGACTAGAAAGACCAGAGCTCTGAGGAGGGAGAGCCAGCCCTGGCCCATACCCTCAGGAATTCTCGTAGACCCGGAGGGTGCCAGCAGAGCCCCCGGTGCATGGAGCTGAGTGTGTGGAGGACCACTGAGTGCCAGTGTCCCCCCACCCTCCTGTGCACCCCCTTCCTCTGGCTGTGTCCCAGCTGGTCCTCTACAAAGAGACAGTGCATGGCAGGGTTTCCTGCATTAGGCAGGTTGTTCTAGCACATTCCCAGGCCCGGGCGGGAGCCGAGGGAGCCCAGGTGCACAGGCAGTTGGTCAGGAGCGGGGTGGTCCCTTGGCCTGCAGCTGGTATCTCAGTGGGGCACCCTGTGGGTCTGAGCCTGCCCCGTGGGGTGTAAACTCACTCCTGACAGTGTGAGAGCTAAGCTGAACCTTTGACTTCCAGCTGACAGTGGAGAGCTATCGGGGAACCCACGCATCTGTCATCAGGAGGAAGATGCCCGCGCGTGATCAGCAGGCAGCCCTGCATGTGGGAGGGCCGGTGAGCCCCGAGGACAGCGCTCCAGGTGAGCCTCGCCACTCAGGCCAGCAAAGCCATGACCAGAGGCGCACACTGCAGCCTAAATGACCACAGAAGATTCAAGGCCCCCCCCCCCCGACTCCTGGAGGGAGATAAATATCAATTATATACTCTTATTACATAATTTATATTCACCTATCCAACAAATATCTATTGAAGTTTACTATGGACCAAGGACTGTTCTAGGTGATTTTTATGTTATATTTCTTATAAAAAAAGAAGTCAGGAGCACATTTTGGGGTAACATGTACAGTGATACCTACTTCTACATGACTTCTAAGAGAAAATTATTGAAATTTGGGCATTTTTAGGGGAACATTTCATACACAGCATTTTAAACATCCATGTGGTAGCTGAGCACTTACCACATGTCAGGGGGTCTGTATGCATCTCCTTATCTAATCCTAACAACTATTTTTATCCCTAACCAAAGGATGAAAAATGAAGTTTTAGAAGTATTAGGTAACTTACAAAGTATGCTTTGACCTAGGTGGTCTGACTCAAGGAACCCCTCTTAGCCCCTGCATGACTTAGGGGGGCGGGTCCTGGGCAGAGTGGAGGCCCACTTCCCTGGAATAAATGAGAACTTGAGCTACCAGGTATGGAAAGGCGGGTGTCAGTGTCCCAAGCCACCCAAGAACAGGGACTTCACCGTCTGCTAATGAACCACTGAACAAGGAAGGAAGGAAAGACCTCCGCTACAGAGAGATGGAATCAGTCCTGCACTAGAGTCCTTCTTCATCGTCTTGAGTTAAACTTGGTGGGGACCCTGTCCCTGACGGGAGGTACTCTTGTTCTTCTGGGGATACGGGCCAATGCACTGTGTGGACTCAGAGACAGTAACAGATGGCCAAACCAGCCTCCGGCAAGCACCGACAGGAAGAGCAGGTGAGTCCTTACTAGACGCCTTAGGAGTCCCCTTCTGTCTGGGCCACCATGAGGAAACAGCAGAGACTGGGTGGTCCACACCAGGAGGTGGCTCCTTGCTGATTCCCAGAGTGGGGTGCCGGCGGGTAGCTTTCTGAACCCTCTCCTCTTGGTCTGCAGACATCTGCCAGCCTGCCCCGTGCTGGAGGGAGGGCAGCAGGCCCCTGGGCCTCCCTAGCTCCACACGCAGCCCCTGGGGCTAGAAGTCCCACATATGAATTAGGGTGGCACAATTCAGGCCATAGAAATAGGAGACACAACACTTCCGATTTTAATCCGAACCAACAGGGCAGATTCGTAAAGTGGGCTCCAGCCGCATCTGCTGAGGATGCAGTTAAGAGGAGTGACGGCGGCCTGGAGGTGAGGAGCAGGAAGGCCTCTCCAGAGAGGGGAGGGCTCTGCATCCTGGAGGCAGGCCAGCGGGAGGGTCAACACTGGTCCTCATGTCCCGCGACAGCACGGCTTCCTTCAGGGTGATCTGAGGTCAGCCACGCATTGATCACAGATGCTGTGGGCAGTTCTTCATCTCTCAGCTTTTGTGTTCATTTGCAAATATCCATAATACAAAAGTTTTTATGAAGAATAAACTAAATATTGGGGGGAGTGGGAAAGCCCCATTCTGAGGGGGAGATGGTCAGAACACCTCTGGGAACTGGCTCCAAGAACCAAGTCTGGGGACACAAGGCTACTGTGTCCCCAAGAACTGTGGAGAGCCCAGGACAGTGCCCTGCTCTCGGGATGATGACAGGGACACTAAGGGTAAATGAGACTCCTGTGTCGGGGCAAAGGACTTCACAGCTCAGAGAATCCATGTTTGTGGACAAACTGGGGTGACTAGTCACACCACAGTCCCACAGCGAGGCACAAAGAGAGCCAGAGAGCCAGGTACTTGCAGTGTCCTGGGTGGCCCACAGGAGAGGAGCTCCCACCCAGGGGAGTGAACCTGTCTACTCAAGGGCACAGGGACCCGGTCTTCCAAGTGTCAGCCACTGTGCCCTGAAGTACAGAAGCAGGGATCACTTCTTCTTTAAAGATGTTGGTTTATAAATACCTTTAAAGACAGTTCAGAGCAAAGATAGCCAGTACCTGTGCTCGGAAGACGGACACAAGTGCGAGAGACCGGAGAACTGTCTTACTGGCACCTGTGGAGGAATGGGCACGGGGAGGGAGACAGCCCCGGGGAGCCTTGGTGGGTAAGTTCAGAAGAAAGCCAGCTGCAGATGGAGCCTTCCAGAAACAGACGCAGAGGAACATCAACCTCAAAATAACCACTGCCAAAGAAACAGCATTCATCTCTGCCTGCAGAGGAAGATGCTCTCAAACTGAGAAACTCACAAGACACCCTCTTCAAACCCACACAGAAACAGCATCTCCACCCAGGAAAACGTGATACCTCAAATCATTATAAATGACATAAAAAACAACTATGAGAAGACATGATATATAAGAATCAAGATTTCAGTGAATGAAAAATATTCTCTAAGACATCAAACATGAAGCAAAAGAAAGCTACAGTGAAACTCTCACTCCTGAGCAGTCATGGTCTCCAGATAAGCACTAAACATAAAGGAGCCTCTCAAATCATCAAAAAGCAAAAAGCAAAACTCCAAGTGAATTATGCAAAAGCAACAAAATAAAAAAATAGACCAGTGGGAATATATAAATCTGAAACTCGACTGTACAGCAATGAAACCAACAGCACAGTAAAGAGACAACCTACAGAACAGGAGGAAATGTTTGCAAACTTACATCTGGAAAGGAGTTAACACCCCACATATATAAAGAACTCAAACAACTTAATAGCAGGAAAACAGTTAACCCCATTAAAACATGTTGGCAGAGACCTGAACAGACATTGCTTAAAAGAAGACATACAAATAAATGGCCATCAGGTAAATAAGAAAAAAGGGGGCTTGACCTCACCAGCCTTCAGGGAAATGCAAATCAAAACCCTAGGAGAAACCACCTTCCTTAAGAGAATGGCTGCTACCCAAGACCCAAAGCAGCAGATAGGAACCTTACTCTGTTGGCGGGTGAGAATCAGCACAGCTAGAAGTCAGCTCAGAGCCGCCTCCGGAAGCTGAAAGTGGAGGGTCTCCTGATTCAGCTACACAGCAGGGACCTCAGGGTACACATCAGCATGCCAAAGAGACTCCCGGGCTCCCATGTTGTCCTGGCACAGCACACGGCAGCCCAGCATAGAGCTCACCACGGGCTCACCATGGACGTGTGGCCAATGGACATGGGGCCCCCCACAGCAGGGAACACACCTCGGCCACGAGGGATGAACCCTGCTTAAGCCAAGAGTGTAAGCGGGTGTAACTCGACTACTTGACAGGCAAGATTTCATCGCGGTTTCAAAGCAAACCCCGGATCTGTCAAGAACGAAAGAGACACCCCAACAAACTTATTCAGACAAGCTAAACATCGGACTGGGCTGAGGCACTCCCAACAAACGCCAAGAAGAAGCAGGGCCAGGCCGGTACGGCAGAACCCAGGTGCGCACACTCAGTGAGACAGGCGAACCCCGAAGCTAACTGGAAACGACACCCTGATGAGTCACCATGTCCTGGGCCAGGAACTCCGAGGCCTCAGAAAACACTGAGTCAGAAAACACACACTTAGTTTCGATTACAAAATAAGTCTTAGATTTCATCTTGCTCCGCTGTTTCCGTAATAAGCAGGTAACATATCAAGAAGGAATGCAGAGCCTATGGATTCACTCTTTTTTCTTGATGCTCTTTTAAAACTCCAAGAAATGAATGTTGTAGACCATTCTTAACCCACCAGGGCAAAGAGGGTTGGAGAGGAAACAGCAGTGGAGGAGAGTTTTTAAACCAGCTTTTAGAAGAAGAAAAGCAGAAGTGGGATTGACTTGGTGAAGCAGAGGAAGTTAAACTGAGCTTAGAGAACCACCGGGCAGGAAGGACAGTTTGCCCTGAAAGTGTGAGAGGGAGCCGCCGAGCCTCCTGGGCTGGGGTCTGCCCAGCCCACCAACACGCCCCGGCTCACACAACCCAGGAAAACACAGAAGCAAAGGTGGGAGCACGTTGCCCTGCGCAGACAGAGTGCTGTCCATGTCTGGGAAAGGAAGTGCAGTCAAGCACCAGCCACCGAGCTGGAGAGTCTCCGAGAGCTGAGGTCGCGGAGCGGAAGGAAAGAGGAGCCAAGGTGCAGACCATCAGGCTCCAATTCTGGAGCATCGACCTCCTGAGACCTCCTCTCACGTGACCCCACAGCCAGGTGTACACGGCCAGACGCTGAGCCTGTCGGGAAGCAGAAACGGACAGGGCCTCGGGGGAGGACTGGCTGGGAGCAGGGGCCGCACAGACTGTACGCAGCCAGCTGCACTGGCCAGCTGGGCTCCTCCCGTTTGCTGTAAGTACCCACGGTCAGTCCTGTGTCTCCAGGACCAGAAACTGCAGAAACAGAAGAGCCAAAGATCAGACGTTCTGAGATGGTCAAGAAAGTTCTAGGCAAACAAAGCTACAGTGCAGGCCACAGGGTAAGAAGCCAGGCCAGAGAGGGCAGAGCCGGATCCAGAAAGTGAGGCTGTTAGGGAAAAAGTGACTGTTGACATGGGACGGGCCAGACAATTCCACAGACAGCGCATTTGATGTGGTGACACAGCACCCAGGAAGCAGTGACTGGAGTCACGACTTTCACCTTCAGAGGGAGAGACATTCACTGCTAGGAAGAGGTCTGACCAGAGGAAGTTCTGCGCTCAACAGTGAGTGATGTTGGAGCGAGGGTCCTCCCCAGAGGCAGGAAGCCTGGTGCTCCGTCCTGCTGGGAAAGGTGGGGACCTGCATCTGCAAAGCCTCCAGCTTTCAATACGTCCACCAAGAGGAAGCTTTAGGATTTACCCCAAGGAACCAAATGTACACGGGCCCAAAGATGTAATGTGCGCACGTTTGTTGGCGTATCAGAATAGTAAGAGTAATAGTAAGGGAATGCAACCTGAGACTGCTAGACGACTGAATACCATACAATATTTACTCAAGAAAATATTCACAATGCTCCTACTTCTAAAAACTGCTTAAAAATGGGACTACTGTATTATTTTTAATGACAACAGAAAGAGAGACAGAGACCCGAAAAATTCTCTCAGTAATATTGGAAGGTAGGATTAAACTGGAGTTGTATCTTCTTTTTTCTTGTCTACTTTGCAAACCCCAAAGCCTTCTGTATATATGCACTAGCTCTTAAAGCTGCCACAAACAGAAGGAACAGACCCTTCTAAATCCATAATTAGAAAATAAAAACTGAGAGGGAGCCGCTGAGCCTCCTGGGCTGGGGTCTGCCCAGCCCACCAACATGCCCATAATTAGAAAATAAAAACTACGTTCAAGAGAGAAAGGCAAGAGGATAGGAAGACGGCAAGGTCCCGGGGTAATCTGGGATGGTGGGAGCAGCGCTCTGCATAACCTAGGGCCCAGCACAGGTGAGTGGCCACTCACCTGTCCTCCCAGCCAGTATCTTGACCAACTTGCCACTCCCTGTGGTTCCTACCAGAGCAGCCGCCTGACCCACAGGTCAGACATGGAAGCAAGCGTGAGCCACCTTCTGAGGTTTGTTTTCTTAGCTTGCAACCTCCTGTAGATCTAGACCTAAGTGTGCAAGGGCTTTCCCAGCTCTGTGGAACCGGGCACCACTGGGAGGGTCACACTCAGGGTCACCACAGGGGGGACCGAGGGTGGACACCCATCCGTGTTTTGTTGCTGATGTGCATATTTAACGTCCTGTCTGTGATCAGGGCTCAGCCAACTGCTGGGCCACAAAATAATGACATCGTGACACAGCACAGAGAAAAGGACATGAAGGAAGGAAACCACCAAGTGGTCTGAACCTTAAAATGAATTTTATTTTGTGTTTTAATCTGCTAGCATTCTCTGTGACAATTTAAAATACCAATCTGGTGATGAAAGGGAAGAAAGGAAACTTCATGTAAGAACAAGGCACATGACCGGGTCTGGAGGAGGGAGAGTCTCCAGCAGAAATATTTCCCAGATGTGACGTGGAAAGAGCTGCCATCATGCAGCTGGCTTGGAAAATGGGGCGATGCAGGTTTAAGAAATTACAGTCCTTTCTAACAAAGCAGAATATTCAGAATATGGGGCAATCAGTAGAGTCTTATGTTCATGTAGAAAAAACTAAAAAGTGATGCGAATTCCTACAAGTGAGGAATGAAAATGTATTTCAAACAGACTCCCAACATGCCCACCTCCTCCCTGAGAGCCCACATCTGAGCAGACACACATGCTGAAGGCACACGCGAGTTAGACCGCACATCCAGGGGAAGCCAGCAGACACGAAGAGCCCAGGTCACCGAGATTACATTCGAAATTTCGATTTATGTGAAGGAGTAAAAGAGAAAAGATCCCCACCAAAAGCAGATTGGATTTCCCAAACTCCCATGTCCCCGCTCTTTGCTCTGTTGGTGTATTCGGGTGACTTCCTGTCAGAGAGGCTGAGGGAGCTCTGAGCTTGGTGTTTCCACGGTGCCCTGGAGGTGGGAATTTCGCCCTGGAATTCTGCAAAGGCAGCCTCTTCCACCTGGTAGTCGGCTCTGCACCTTCTCGAGCCACAGAAGCTGAGCCTGGCCCCAAGGCAGCATGTGGGTGACGGCCAAGCTCACCCAGGCTGGGGAGAGCATCAGCACTCCCCGGGGCCTTCTGCAGAAGGGAAGCCTCATGCCAGCTACACCCACAGCGACCCCAGCTGCATGCCCCCCAGGAAGCCCACAGTCCAGCCTGCAGGTGCAGCAAGTGACCACAGGGACAGCAGTGGTCTCTCCAGGTAGGTGGCAGGTCCTGGGGAAATTCTGATTGGTGCTCTTTTCTACAGTGACCCCCCAAATGCCGCCTGGGCCAGAAACAAGCTCTACCAGTGATGTGGCTCTGCACCCCAGAGCTGGACACACGCGGGTTGTTAAAGATGGGAACACAAGGATCTCCACAGGGCCCTGACCTGCTGGGGCCTTGTGTGGAAGCTGAGCCTCAGATGGTGCCCTGGTGCCATCTGCCTGAGAGTGACTGCCACCTGGAAGCAGGGGTTCCCCATGCCCTTGTTGTGGATCTCTGCGTCAGTCACCCACAGAAAGATCATTTCCCTTCACACGCTGCACGTGGACACAGCTGAGAGGCTACTTTCTTAGTGTGGAAAGAGAAGGAGTTTAGTTAGGCTGACCTCCAGAAGCCCAATGTGACTTTACTAATTTGAAGAAGTACTTTCTGAAAAAGTGACAAATTTTAATTGCAAGCAAATAAATTAGTAAATTTCATGAAAAATCAGGCTGATCTATGTGTCATTAACTAGATTTATTCAGCTCTTTAAAATAGATTTCTTTTTGACCAAACAAACACCAATAAAATTATTTTCTCTGTGACGTAGGCAGGAACTATGTACAAGGCCCCTTACTCTGCCTTTCGGGGACAGTTTAATTCCTGGTCGGGTAAGATGGGGATTAGCCATAAAGAGGGCCAAAGAAGTGTAAAACTGCTGGTGATATCAATAAAGAGTCCAGTGTCACTGTCACTTACCACATGAACCTCTGCCTGTCACCCCATAAATGTCCTCACACTTCTTTTCCATTTATGAGCAAAAAAAAAAAAAAAGGAGTTTCCAGGGACTTTGAATAGGCAGCAGCTGCCTGGCTGCTGGTTGCTGCACCTGGGAGGGAGTGTGCTGTCCCAGGAGCAGAACGCCCTGCTGTGAAGCTGTGAATGTGATGACAATGTGCTCCTCCTGGTTCTGAAACCCAGGGTGCTCCGCCAGAGGCCAGGAACAGCCAGACCAATGGTGGGTGTCCCTATGCTGGGCCCTGGGGCGAGGACTGGAGGGGGAGCAGGTGTGAGCCAGGTGAAGGGCGCCTGGAGCCAGACATTCCATCCCTACAGCTGAAGCAGCACTCCACCCTCAGTGAGGGCTTGAGGACAAGGGGGGAGGACAGAGCAGCCCCGCCCTGTGGAAACAGCGCCTGCCTCCTCCCCCTCCTCCCCTCCCCCTCCTCCCTCCTCCTCTGCCTGCCTCCTCCCCCTGTCTCCCCTCCCCCTCCCCCCTCCTCC